AGATAGATAGATAGATAGATAGATAGATAGATAGATAGATAGATAGATTAGTTTTATTATAAGATTATGCAGCAATAATCACACTGAAAAAATTGAAATCAATATGTGGTAAATAAGACAGCCATTAAGGACATTTTTCTTTTCTTTTTGATTTAGCAAATATACAGGTTTCATAAAAAGTATTTTCAGGAAAAAAGTGTATTTTCAGATTTCCTTAACTGTAGGCATGTGCATGAGATACTCAATATGATGTCAAACTTGGGATGCTGGGAAAATATATTGAGACTACTATGAACCTGAGCCCTAACAACACCACTTAAAACTCAGAGCCAATACCTCACAAAGTTTACCTCTAATGACGCGAAACAATGGTAATTTTCTAAGATTTAATTTACATATGCCTATAAAAATATGCATCATACTAAATACAAATAACTAATGACTCAAGTTACTATTTGTTGTAAATGCAGTCTCCAAGGATTTTAAAATGTATACAATTTTTTTAATTAACACAAAATTGTGAGATTAATTTAAGATGAATGAGTTAATTAATCAACTCAGCATGCCACTCAATTAAGAAAACAATTATATAAGACACCTGAAACCAAAGAAAAACAGCACAACTCACCCTGTTTTGGAAGCTCAATGAATTCTCAAAGGGCTGTAGTCTCGAGCTTGTCATTAAGGGTTCTCTTTGCAGAACATTTCTGCTGTATCCTAAACTGTTGTAGAGACGTCCAGATCCAAACCCTGGATCAGAGCTCATCATGCACATGTTTGATGCAGGTGTATACGCTTCCATTTTATTGAAGTTCTTCCTCATGGACCCATCTTGTCTGTCCTTAGACCTGCAAAGATTCCCAAAGGCAAACATAAGTCTTATTGTTACCAAGGACCAGCCTCATCTTGGAGAGAGATTTTGAGGAAAGGGTATCTGGGAGCTGAGAAAGAATGACTCAAGATCAAATTGTGGGTTACAAACTGATGGCCTATGTTCTGCTAGAGACAGCTTTCCAGATAACTCTCTACTGAGACAGCTCTCTCTTGCAATTCCAGAAACTCTCTGGATAGCTCCTCTCTTATAGATCAAAATCCCAGTCTTTTATTTACATATCATTTTAGCCATTACCCCAGGTTCCCTTATGATTATCCCGTGAGTCAGCACCCCATGACCCCAGCACCCTGATTCTTACAAAAAGACAACAAACACATGGGTTTTTTGTTTTTTGTTTTTTAACATTGCAGATAAATTCAGATATTTGCCTGGTTTTGTAAGCACAAACAATAAGCTAGTTAGGTGGGATCTTGCCCTAAGATTACTGTTCCTACCATGCTTGGGCTTAACCTATCTCTGTCCCAGGCTGACCTTGAACTCATGAATCTGCCTGCCTTTGTATCTGCCTGACTTTGTAATTTTCTGACAAGCTGGCTCACAGTGCAGGTGCCTTTGTTCTTTTAGGTCTGAGAAGCTCCTTATATAATTCATTTGCATAGTTGAGAAATTATATATTTTTGAACTCATATTTTTAGAGTTATTTTCCACAGCCTTAAGGGCTATCTTGAAGGTCCCAGCATTCACCATTTTGCTGAGACATTAGCTACACCCTTTCATCTTGCACTTGTGCTGTCACTGATTATCATGGAGTCATTAACCTTGACAGAGAGGACATTCCCTTGCATGTAACCTTAGCAGAGAGAATATTTCAGGAAAGAGGAACAGAAAGTATATGTGTGTGTGTGTGTGTGTGTGTGTGTGTATAATACAAACAAGCCCCGAGCCCAGCAACTATCAACACTTGTGGAGGCCTATGACCTTCTGGCTCTGTTCTAGGGGCAGGAAATCATGTCACACCATTCTTTCCACATGGCCAAGCAGAACTCAGTGTATTTTCCCATGAAAGACTTCTAATAGTGACAAATGAGCAACTACATTCCCCCCCCCAACAACATCTGAACATTCAACTGGAAATAATTATATTTCTAGATTCCAAACTAAAAAAGAAATAAAACTCAGGGGTCAAGGAAATGGCTATCACACATGTGTGGTTCTTCAGGTTAAACTGCTACCTACTAAAATGGCCCCTGTATCTGCCAAGAAGCAGTGTGAAATAACTGTCCATGATAAAATCCTTGATTATAGTGGCAACTAAAACCTTATAGTGGCAACAAAAACTTGGTAAGCATGGGATGAGCTTTATAGACAGCTCATACCATGCTTACCAAGTCATCAGGGATGGGACCATTCCATTTTGTCTCTACACATCCTTCCTGCTGGGCAAGGGCCTGTTTTATCCACTCTTAAATCATGCTTATCTTCACCTTCATGTTGACCTTTCCCTACATTGCAACCCTTACTTCACACAGCACAGAATAACTTAGGAGGACCACCCCTACAAACCCTCTGGTGGAAACACCAGGTAATACAGTTGAAAGTCCATTGGCAAAGTGTTAGAGTGAGGCCACCTGTGTACCATTAGTACTATGTATCTTAGTACTTATATTACAATACTCAGACAACAGTTAAACTTTTAATTCATAAATTCATGGGTATTATGATCTGCAATTTTACAAGAGAATAATTAAACAAAATGTACATTATGAAGATATTGTGTGGGAGAGCACCATGCAACCCAAACCTGGAAAATAAACAGCAACTATTTTTGAGTGAGCATATTAAAAGAAAGTTTACTTAGTAAGATTGCTTTCCAAAATTATATTCTGTAGCTTGATTTCACACCATGGAATCTCATCAAGGTCTTTCACTGACAATCATTTTTCAGAGACAAATTACTGACTTGCCTTAGTTGTCTTTGAGATGATGAACTTGTCATTGCTACCCATTCTAGACAGGGATCCTTATATTTTTCTGGTTCAGCTTTACAGAAGGCTTGATGAGTTGTTTCTTTTGAGTGTTCAGATTCCAGATTTGTATATCTGAATTCCCTTGGAGTTATGAACAAGGCATTGTGGTTCTCTGGTACGTTGTCAAACATTTCTTGATCTTCTCTTACTATCTGAAAGAAATTTAAAAGATACATTTTCTTTTAATTGTGATAACAATAACTACTATGTGTTTGATTCCTTTAGTTTTGGGCAGTAACTCTGAACATTTAAATATGTGTCCATTTATGTATGTGTATTTGTGTTTGTGTGTGGAATTGTCAAAATAAGTCTGAGGCACTGGAAATAAGTCCTCTAGTGCTGAAATATCTACTCAGTCCTAAATCATTCTCATGTCAGTGCCCATGGAATTAGATAGTTTGAAAAAGTCACAGGATGAATTAAAAGTATTAATAATTAATAATTTTTATTAAAATAATTTTCAGAGTATGTTATACCATGGATTTAGAATATAAAATTACAAGTACTTCAGAAAGGCTCCTGTCAGATACCTGGTGACTGTTAAAGCAACAACATAAGGAGATCAAAGCTGACACAAAAACTGAGGGTGTGTGATTGTTGTTAAACAGCAGCTACAAGTCAACTGGCAGAGGGATATTGGAGAAGAATCACCTCTGAGAGGAACTGTTAACTGAGTTGGGATCAAAATGAATTGAAGTATTTCTTTAGAGAGTGAGTTTCTTCTCTCTAACCAAGTCACCACAGATGTGACCTGCCCTCTTTGTCTTCCAAACAGCCCTCTCAGTGAATAATGGAGTGTCTTTGAATTTGTAAATAATAGTTTGCTTCAACCATAATAACTGATTATTTGATAAGGTTATGTGTAAATGAGACTTATTTCCAATGGTTAAGTTATATCCTTTTTAGGACATAATATAATAATAATTTGAGAACCTGCTATTCTATAATATTCATTCCACAAATGTTGACACATGGAAAAATCTCAAACTTGCTTCTTATAAACAGATGTGGTAAGATTCATGCCTGTGACTTCCAACAGAAGTTTAGAAAGTACTTTGCATCAATGTTATCATCGTGTTGTAAGGGTATCAGACTGCAAGGAAAGCCTAGGTGTTCCTACATGAGTGTTCCACCACCCTACTTCAAATGAAGCTACTGTCAGCATCTAATACCAATATCCAAAGCAAGCAGATACATTAGGGAATAACACTTCAGCCTTATACCTTTTCAATCTGTTCCAGCTGAATGTCATTGGAGAAGAAATGATCTGTCCTTGCCAAGATTTTCTCAATCTGTAGATTTTAAAATGAAATGAAGGTTGTTTAACCCACTAAACTTTGGAGAATTGAACAATTGTCAAATGATAAATATGAAATTAACGTGTATAGAATTTCACATAATTTAGTCTCCTTTAAAGAATGTGATACTATTGAGGAAAGAAATTTCATGTCACATCCTTTCAATTCAGATTCTCACAACTCTGTAAATGTTATAATTTTTTTTTAAAAAAATTAGGAACTATAGAATAATGGGAAACAGAGATACATACAATTTCAAATATAGTTGATAAATGACATTACTTGGATTTAGTCATTCACTATCTCTGATACTACACTATTTATGTCCAGTATTCAGCAATGATCCCTAACTCTTTGGAGAAAGAAGTGCGGTGTACATAGTCTATGTAAGGCTAACTTTATTATTGTTATTGCTGTTATTGTTATTAAATACTATTATCAGTGTGGAATGTGACTAAAAATTGTAATCACTGAATTTTATTTGGAATTGGCAAAATAACAAATATTAGAATTTTATAAATGACTAGATTTCATTTTACTATTTACTATTTCACATTTACATATGCTATTTTTTTCTTAATTAAATCATCCTCTAAAGTTAACTTCATGTTTCTGATATGGAAATAGTCATACAATGTTTTAAAGTGGGAATTTCTGGGTTTGTTGGAGACTTAGTTGTGTCATGTGATTTTTTTCTGGAAGCTGTCTTATGAAAGGATGTTTTTCTGGGCAGATATGTAATTTTTTACTGAGAACAGACGTGTTTTTCTGGAAGCTGCCTGGTGAAAGAGCATGTGATGTTTCACTAGAGCAGACACTTAACAGGACAAATGGTCATATGATATTTAGAATAAGTATAACTCTAACTCAACAGACAATGTGTGACGCTGTGGCATTGGTTCTCCTTGCAACTTTTTGGTAGTCTTTGTTGGGCTTCACTGATACTGACTTTTCCTGATGGCATTCTTGCATTGGTTCACCTTGCTTTCTTCACTGATCTTCACTTGTTGTGACTTCATGGAGAGAAATGCATCAAAGAACTTCCGGTGGTAGTCTGGCTGTTTCTTGCTGCTGCTGCTGCTGCTGTTGCTGCTGCTGCTGCTGCTGCTGCTGCTGCTGCAGACTCTTGGCTAGTGGGCAGAGCCTTGTGGTTTCTTCTGGGTCTAGCCACTGCTACTTATTTGTGTTTGGTGTTTGCTCAGTGGCATGAACTGTTGGTGCTGATTCATGTTTGGTGTTTTGCTAGTGGACTGGAATGCTGACAATAAAGATTGAAATTACCCCAAAAAACTATTTCTAAACAGGCCCACAACTCCCATTTCCTATTAAGCTTTCTTTTCCCTTACCTTTGGTGAATGGTGGGTTAAAGGGAGGTTGACGAACTATTATTAAAGTAGGTTTTGAAAAAAATCTAAGCCTACGATGTTTGTTGCTTGGTTTTGAGATATCAACTCTGTTTTGAGACAGAAGAGAATCAATTGCTTGTTTTTAATAGAACTTACATGGTTTTATAGAAAACTGACAACTTTTTTATTAATATCAACTTGATAGTATTTTTTAAAACATCTCACTTATTGTTAAAGCATAGAGGGGTTTATTTATCAAACTGACTCTTTTGAGTCCCCTAATTCATAGAAAAGTACCTCATGTTGTGGTTCATCAATTGGAATATTCTTTTCAAATTGCCTGGTATTTGAAACTTCAGAGAAACTATGCTCTCCATTTTCACATACAGTTGATGTTTTTGTTGGTTTAAAACATTTTTTACCTCTACAAGAATGTAAAGATTAAATTAGTGACAACTTCTCCAGAGTAATCATAAAGCATATGTGCAAACACATAAAAATCAATAAATTATGATTCTTACTTGTTAAAACTAACTTTATTGGAAAGCATTTAAAAATTATAACTTCAAGTAAATAATATGAAGGAATTTCTTAAGGTACACACAGCATGTAAACAGCTCACATTGGGGCCAAATGATGAATCAGCAGATATGGAACTTTTTGTGCAAGTCTAATGAACTGAATTCAGTCCCCAGAATCCACAAAAGGGGAAAGATGAAAACTAACATCATAGCATTGTTTTCCTGATACACACACACACACACACACACACACACACACATACACCCCACAAATGCTTTTACATACATTATTTATCATTATCTATCTATCTATCTATCTATCTATCTATCTATCTATCTATCTATCAATCATCTATTTGTCATGTATCTATATCCCACTATATATCTATCTTTATAGGTATCTATATTTGTCTCTCTCTATATATCTTATCTATATATCTGTATATCTATCTATTGTCAGCCTTCCTTCTCTGCTCACTTATATCCAAGGAATCAATGAGGTCTTCATGGAAATATTGGAAAATACCAACTATGTACTGAGTCGGATCTTATTTCCATTCTTTATTCACTAAGCAATATACCACCATGAATTCTGCTTAAAACTTGAATTATATATGGAACTATGGTTGCTCTCCACTGACTGACAGCAAGATCCAATTGCTGAAGATAGCACCCACCTAACTCATTGAACTTGGAGAGACTGAGCTGGTGCATGTCCAGAACGTCACCCCTATGTTCTAGAGTCATTGGTATAGGATTTGGTGTGGTATACTTTGCAGGATACCATAAGGGAAACATAAATACCCAAACAGTCATATAACCTTTGATCTGCAATGCTGCCCTACTTGCAAAATATACTAGGGCAACAGAAGCACAGAGCTTGTGGAAGTAACCAACCAATAACTGACTTAGGGTAGACTCCATAAGATAAACTGCAACTTCTTCAATCGTCTTTCACCTCATTTAAGAGAAAGATCCAGCACACAGGAGCAAGCCTTAGGGCACACACCCTAAACAAATGAATGAATACAAACTTGTAGACACACAGACAGAGGGACACACACTCAGATATGCACATATTAGGTGCATATGGAAGACACTTAGAAGGTGGAATGTATCTGATTTGTTTATGTTGTGTCTGACCAACAGAGCAAGGAGATACAAGCAGATTCGATATAAGCAGATTCGAGAGACTTTTGATGTGGTTAAAAATTCTGAAGAGATATTTTATATTGAAATGTTGGCTGAAGGAAAAGAAGAAAACACTTTCAGAACCAAACCATAGGGTTGGTGAAGAGTGTAGCTGACTATCAAAGACTTCACTGCTATTGTTTCAACATCATTAAAGAGAAATGTGGCCTTGCACAACTGGTTTAAGGTTTTTGTTTGGAACTTCAGAGACAAATTTTAATCTATGAGAATTCAGGAAGGAAAATGCAAGTACAAAATGTATTCTTACTTTGCTTTTCAGACAAGTACAGTGAAAACAAAGAATGAATGCTTAAACGGATATGAAATGCTAAAGTCTTACGGAGTTTTCTCTTTAGCTGATTCCAGACAATTCTTTGTTTGATGCAGCTCAGATTGTGCAGATGGAACCGACTTGGTGAGTGCTTTATTGAAATCTTCCTTGTCATTCATAGGCTTTGAAAAGGTGGCAAGTTAGTTTTAATAAATACAGAACTTATTCTGTCTGGGACCTATTTCTCACAGTTTTAGGAATCTAGGTGAATTCTCTAAATGTTGTAAATCGTATGCTGGCAACCAAGCACACAGATGTAAGCAGAGGACTTTTCCTAAAACAACTCAGATGGATTGACATTTTCATCCTTTTATATCGCTGAAATTTATTATGCAACAAAACACGTTTCTTTTTAACTTATGCCTGTTAATAATGGTTTTTCTAGTTGTGGCTGCATTTCATACTAGTCCAAGAAACATTTCACTTTTGGGAAATGCCTGCTCCTGACTGTGCTTTATGTGCAACTGGCTCTAACTGAAAGCACCATCATTAACAGCATGCATTCATAGAGGAGTTTGCCTTTTCAGTACTCTAGAAACACTAAACAGGGCAAGAGTTAGGGTTCTGCAGATAAGAGTATCTTTGACCAAGCCTGCCCAACCAAGTCCTAAACCCTAGGGAACACATTTGAAAAAGATAAGGGGGTTGTTCAAGTTGTCCTCTGTCATCAACATGCTTGCTGCTTCCCCCAAAACCTAAATAATTTAAGAATGAAAAATTTTAAATCTTTTAAAAACCAAACAATTCAGTAGTTTGCACATCAAAAGCTCAGATTATATTACCCAGAGGGAAAAAAATTAATAATGCAACTAACCGCATCCAGGTGGGCTGTTATGGACTGATTTGAAGGTTGTGGGTCTAAAGTGGGAGTCGGTGTGTTCTCTTGGGTAAAGAGGCTCCCCAATCTTCTATGAAAATTTGTCACACAGGGACCCTCAGAGGCAAATATGGAGCTTAGCAAGTTCAGTAATGCTGTGTTGTGCTGAATCAGCATGACAAATTGGGTCGTGACCTCCTTCAGCTTAGCTTCAGTCCTGTGAAGAGTGGGAAGGCAAGTCATTATCTCATTCCCCTCCCAACCCCCAATCAACTTGTTAGACACAGAACTCGGTTTATTTGCCTTCCATAAAGCATCACACATCGAAGAAGGAATTATTTGGAAGCACCATGTGAAATACTCTCTATTTCATGCCATGTCAATATTTTCCCATGCTGTGAATGTGCCTTTGTGAAGAATAGAAATGTTTAAAAGAACTGTTTGTGTCTAGGTTTTCACTAGTGGAAATGCTCAGGATCTGAATCACAGACAAGCCACAGGACAAGCTAGGCAAGTTGCCTAGCTGAATACGATACCCAGAGGAGACATGCGGGTTGTCCTTGACACTGTGACTTTATGTTACTGTATTCTAGAAAATGTTCAAATGTTCAATATTTATATTTCAGGGAGTGTAGAGAAGCAAATTTGTAGCAGTAAAAAAAATCATCAACTAACTTATTGAAAAAAGTCTAAGAAATCAAGATAAGATACGTGACTATGAAGAGCAAACACACAAGTATATACACCAATAAAGGGGAGATGTCATTCTGGGTTCGCTTCCTGAAGCTCAGTTCATTTGTCATCAGTGGTTTCCAAGATTAATATTCTAGGTAGTGTTTATAGCCATGATACTATTTTGTAAAAATGCACTTTTGTGAGAGGTGATTAAGGAGCAGAATTAATATTCTATATGACGCTTGGGCTTTACTCACTCCATCAGCTTATGTGACTGATGAAGTTTGACATAGTTTTCCAGCACCATAACATTCTCACGTGTTCGGGTCTTAATTTCAGAGAATTCCCTTTCCAGACGTTGGATTCTGAGTTCCAGCTGGCTCATTACTGAAGTAGTGCGCATTTCTCTGAAAGCATTAAAGAACTCTTGTCCTGCTTGTGTCTGAAAAAAAATTACCAAGTTTTGAGAAGGGATACTACTAAATAATCATAATAGAAATAACAGTGCATTATGTTTTTGTAGTTCTAGCCAATAATTTAGCTGGAAGTTTAAATGTATGGAAAATGGTGGACTGTAAAGCATTTACCATCCTTGTTAACTGCATTTAATCTAAATTATAAAAACATGATTCATTATTGCATGTGTGTATGCACTGATTTCAGTTGCTAAGTCTGAGAGAGATTTGAATATTTATTAATCAATATATAATTACATAGTTACCTTTCCATGATAAGTGAATAAAACAGGGTGATGAAATAACTTTCAGTACAGTCAGAGTTAAACCACAAGGCTGAGGAACTTGATCACCACTCCCCTTCCTTTGTCTTACACTTGGTTACAGGAGAATAGCAGCAAGTCAAGCCACAACACTTTTACATACCACGCAACCTGCCTGTAAGACTTGCAAGTCCCAATGACTGCATTCCAATTAATGGAGCTTCTGCTGTCACAAGAAAGCTCAGCCAACAAAGACCTTACCTCATCTGAGAGGAGACTGTTTAACAGAGCTGCTGTTTAATCTAGCTAGCACATGTAAGGAAAACAATTCATGGATGCAATGACCCCACTGCACTGAAGTCTTCACAATGGAGTATTGTGGTGTCTATTCCCGTAAACAAATCCATGAGCATTCTGCTCTTTTTGATTAACAGTTGGGTACCCTTCATTAGACATTTATGAATTAGCATCCAAGAATTATATACACTAATCCTTGCCAAGGTTGGACCCTAAGGTCCTTGAAAGCTAATAAACAAAGTGAATTTAAACACACACACACACACACACACACACACACACACACACACACACACAAATGTGCTCTGAATCTGTAACACTAAGAAGTCAGTTTTCTATTATAGCCCTACTTGACATAGCAGCTGTATCTCTATTTTAACAGCTATTGATTCCTTTTTTATGTTTTTTATGTTTTTCCAAAGAGAAAACCACATTTCTTTGGAAACAATGCTGAATGGTTATTACCATCATTAAATCTCCACAGTTGATATCATTATTTCTCCAAACTCACCGACAGTTCAGATCTCACGATAAATTGAGAAATGTATAGAGCATTAAATTTCTTGGAAGATTAAGAGATTTGTGAAATATAATGGCACTCAAACAGGTTTCTGCAAAGCAATGTCCAGCCCATTTTTGTCAGAATGGAAAGAATGTAAAAATCAAAGTGTTTATCATTGAATGAAGAGAGTGAAACTCAGCATTTCTTAAAACTTTGGCTGAAAAAAGCTATACAGTCTTTTCCATTAGCATATTACTATCAACATAGTTGATTATATGGGTTTGGCCAACTTGTTTATAACTGAGAGGGCTGGCACTAGTGGTGCCACTATATAATAGAAGCATCTTTATCCATAAGAATTCTATTGGTGCCTACAATATTCCTACATCCAATGACTAGAGAAAGAAAATCTCCACTTAGTGTGGTAGAAATGAATAAAAGGCTGACCTACCAGATGGCCAGTTTCTGCCAATGTTTTACCTTCACTTGGTAGTTTTCTCTCAAGCTGTTCTATTGTCTCTGTTTGCTTTTTGATGGTTTCTACTAACTTGGAAACTTCATGTTCGACCCTGAAAGGTAGACATATTTCCATTAATTACTCTGAGATTATCAAATTAGAAAAAAAAGTTAAGAAACATTTGAATCTGATTATAGGTATTTCTGATGAAATGTTTGGAAAGTGGGTGATTTGGTAAATGCATCTCCTCTACATCTGGGTTTGGTGGTTACTGTGAAGAATGGGGTGTGAGCAATTAGACGTTAGTTCTCTCTTAGTGTTGTTGGGGATAGGACTCCCAGAACGTCAGCCTTACGCAATTCACATCCTCTACCTCTGAACTGCTTCCAAAATCCTAAATACACATTGCAAATAATTCATGGAAGGCTTTTGTAGATTCTAAACAGATACATGTATCATTGTGTTTCCAGTATTACACAGCTTATGTTTTTTTATAACCATTCAAACGCTCCTATGTACTGCTTTAAATCATACTTTTGCAGGTGTTCTTTCGTCATGCTGTCACCGTGTTCAGCCTCTGTCTCTGGATGCTGTGCTTCTTGCAACTAACAGAAAGAGAAAGACAGGACACATCAATCTGTTCATTGACTCTCTATGTGCTGAAATCTGACAGGAAGACAGCCAGATCCCACTGAACCATTCATACTGCATTTATGCTCTTCATCAGAGTTAAATGAATTGTTTGTTGCAACAGGGACCTCAAGGCTCACAAAGTCAGTCTCTCAAGTGAAAGCTTGTTGACCCGAATTTTTATCTTTCCTTTTAATTTGAGACTTTTTTTTGACACTAACTCACTTACAAGCTGACCTTAAACTCACTGTTCTCCTTGTGTCCACATCTCACACACTGAGGTCATGCTGTGGATCTCATCACACTTGGTGCTCAAAATAAAAATTTTCAGAAATTCATACTGGCAAAGCTGGTGTTATTGGGAAAGCCAGAAGGTGTGCTTGTGGTGAGCATTTCTATTTTTATTGTCAAAGCACCCCTTCATTAACTAATTTGAAAATTTCACACATATGAATGGCAGAGCTAAACCAGTGAAATACACCAGTCTCCTACTGGGTAACTGTGATGGTTTGTATATGCTTGGCCCAGGGAGTGGCAGTATTTGGAGGTGTGGTCTTGTTGAGTAAATGTAGCCTTATTAGAGTAGGCATGTCACTGTGGGCATGGGCTTTAAGACCCTACTCCTAGCTGCCTGGAAATCAGTCTTCCACTACCAGCCTTCAGATGAAGATGTTGAACTCTCAGCTCTGCCTGCACTGTGCCTGTCTGGATGTTGCCATGTTCCTGCCTTGATGATAATGGACTGAACCTCTGAACCTGTAAGTCAGCCCTAATTAAATGTTGTTCTTATAAGAGTTGCCTTGGTCATGGTGTCTGTTCACAACAGTAAAACCCTAACTAAGATAGAAGTTGTTACCCGGGACTGGGGTATTGCTGTGGTAGACCTGGCCATGCTTTTGTTTCGACGAATGTGGATTTTGGGACTTTCAATTTGGAAAGTGGTGGAATGCTTTAAATGGGGCTTTATGGGCTATGCTAGTAGGAATATGGAAGACATTGTTACTGAGAGTGATTTGAATTGTGCAGACCTGGCCCAAGAGGTTTCAGTGGAGAATTTCAATATGTTGCCTAGAGACTGTTTCTGTGATATGTTGGTGAAGAATGTGGCTACTTTTTGCCTTTGTCTGAAGATGGGGCCAGTGTACTCACACAAATAAAATGAAATAAATAAATAAATCTTTAAAAAAAATAAATGCCCATCATAGACTTTGTTCTCTGTTTTTGTTTGTTTGTTTGTTTGTTTTTTGAGACAGGGTTTCTCTGTGTAGCCCTGGCTCTCCTGGAAGAGTATTTTAAACAACCGTAGCAAGCTAAGAAAGGAGAAGTATAAAATACATAAAATAAATGGTCCAAGTATTAAAGGGACACCAGGAAATGAAATGGAGCCTAATCATGTGTTCTAGGAAATAGCAGATTAAGGGAGTAAGGTTTTGGGGCAAGATCCTACCCAGCTAAATTTAGATCCAGGTATGGTGGTATACACCTTTATTCCTGGGAGCTAAAGCCAGGCAGATCTCTGAGTTCAAGGCCAGCCTGGAACAGAGCAAGTTCTAGATGAAGAAAAGCTTAAATCCAGGTGGGATGGTGCACACCTTTAATCCCTCTGAACAGGCATGCAGATCTCTGAGTTCAAAGTCCGTCTACAGAGCAAGTTCCAGGACAGCTAAGCTTAGGCAGTGAAGGAGTTTGAAAGCAGAAAACTGGTAATAATGTAATATAACACGGGGGGGGGCAACTTCCAACCACAGGATGCAGCAGCACTCAGCAGCTTCGGTCATTTGGTTCTGGCTTTATTGTCAAGAGGAGGAAACTACTGGGACAATTGATGCTGGTTAGCTAGAGCTAAGAAATTAGTGTTGATTAAGAAGAAACCAGCATTACTGAGGTGACGTCTTCTGGGAAATGTTATGAGAGACCACAAAGAAGCTGTGTTCCAGAGGTAGCCAAAGTTGTAACTCATGCTGCCGCTGTACTTGGTAACAGTAAGAATCATCCAGGTGGTACTGGTTTTGAAGGCATGAAGGGGTCATGAAGAACAGCTGAGACTTGGCACCGTGAGAGGCCACTGAAGGCCATTGGTGAAGGTGCAGCTTCAGTTGCAGTTGATGACCCAAGACTGAAGGGGTCATGCAAAGAAGTTGAGGCTTGGCACCATGAAGAGAGCCTATGAGAGGCTATTTGTGAAGCCTAGTTGCAGCAGAAGACCCCGTTGTATTGTAGATGCCAGTACCATGGGATGATCAAGAACAGCAGTGGTAGTGGAGTGGATCAACCTGAGCTTAGAGTGCTAGAGAGGGCAGAGCTGCAGTGACACCAGCCCTTATGAGGAGCCCAGAAGATCATGTGTGTATCTCAGACATTGAAACAAGAAGCTGTAACATTGAAGCTGCCTTGGAGAACCCAAGATTTTTGAGATGCCAGAGCCATAGGATATCTCCCGAGGAATGCTGCTAACAGGGAGTGCACCAGCCAAGTGCACTGTATCATGCTTCACATCATTGAAAGGGGCAGGGATGAAAACCCTGTGACCATGTGTACATCCCAGAACTTCACCAAACACTCAGTGGTTCCATTCTCCCAAACTCCATTTCACTCACAATAACTTGCAGCTCACTGCCTTTTATAGAAGTACTCAGTAGTAGACTGCTCATCCTTCAGTGGATAGCCCCACTCCGGCATACATGTGGGCAGCAACAATTAAATTAAGTGTGGTATCTTTTTTTTTTTTTTAAAGACGTTGGGGATAGAGAGATGGCTCAGCAATGAAGAACATTTGCTTCTCTTTTAGAACACCTGAGTCCGGCTCCCAGAACTCAACTTACAACTGCCTGTAACAAAGCTCCAAGGGACCTGACATCCTCTTCTGGACTCTGCAGTCACCCACATGCAAATGTCAATACACAGATACAGACACACACAGACACTCAAACACACATTCACACAAATGATAAAAAGAAATCTTTAACTGCAAAAAGCACATGATGTTTGGAGGAAGATATGTTGAGGGAGAGTCAGAGAGGTGAGTGAGGGCAGACAGGATCAAAATACATCACACATATGTATAAAATCCTTGAAGATTAACTAGGACATATTATAATAAAAACAAATAAAAGTTCTCCAAGGTCTTCAGTGTAAGCAAACATGCGTTTGTAACAACTTGTTTTTTTTTTTTTCAGGAACCTTTTAAGATAATAAGCAGGAATCAACAGCCAAGATTTACAATAAATAATATGCAAGTAAAGATCTCAGAATTGAATTTCTAGGGGTGTGGCAATAGTGTCTGTGTACTATCAACTGTGAAGCATCAACTGTCAATAAAAATCTGATCGCCAATAATCTGAGGCAGGATTAGAAGGTGGCATATCCAGCAGATAGAGAAAGGGACTCGGGTATAGTCACGCACAGGAAGATTCCCCGTCTGGACTAGGAGGAAGTCACAGTACGGAACAGAGGAGAGGTAACTAACCACATGGCAGACACAGAATAGTATAAAGCAGTTAATAATAGTTGTGAGCTAGTCGGGGACCAAACCTAGCTTATGGCTTAGTCATTCATTCATAAATAATTATAAGCCTCCGAATCATTATTCGGGAACTGGGGTTGGCGGGGTTTGGGTGGGGGAGAACCAGCGAACGGTTACACCGGGGACAAAATTAAACTGATACAGTGCAGTTATATGCCACAACTCAATGTTTCTGTCCCAAAATGGCCTGCATGCACATTAGAGGCCACACAGCAAGGTATGGCTTAATGGCAGGGTAGACACCTCAAGTTCCTGGGAGCACAGGCTTACTGCGTTAGTGCAATGCTGAGAATTCCAAGCTCCCTGTTTCCTTGTCGTGTTCTTATCAGTAAGGGCTCCCTGCACTGAACTGAGTACCGATTATAAGTCACATTATTTAAACAGATGGAGAAGTAGGACGTTTTACCTTATTTATATCATTTCTGAGGTTCCGCAGCTCCGTATCTTGGGCTCTAAGGTACAGTTCCAGCTGTTGCTTTTCTCTATTGTGTTGTTGTTCCTTTTCAGTTAATTGTTTCTTCCTTTTTTCAGAGCAACCACCAGCATTTCTTCGTTGCACTTCTTGTTTTTCAGGCGATCTGCAAATTGAACATGCCGACATTAAAATTTCATTTTGGTAAAGAGTAAGTTCATTTTATTATCCTACACGATTTTATATTATGTACTTCTCCTTTACAATGCCATCCTTGCTTTCACAATTCAATCTCTAAAAAGCACATATGGACTAGAAGGGTCATAATTAAGGGCCGTTCAACGAATTGACCAGTCTCTGTTACTAGCAAGTCTGTGACTATAGAAAGGGATCTTCTAAATTATTCAGAAAAGTGAAAGGTTGAAAATTGCACACATTCTTGTTGCTGCTGCTAAAGGCACCATGTGCTATACAGATAAACAGAGAGAGAGAGAGAGAGAGAGAGAGAGAGAGAGAGAGAGAGGA